CCTTCTGCCCCTCCTCCCACTAGTGCTCGCTCTCCGTCTCTCAAATAAATATGAATGACGCCATTTATTTAGGTCCCTTTCAGTTTCTCTCACCAGTGTTTTGTAGGGTTCAGCATGAAGACCTTGCATATATTTGATTAGATTTATACACAAATATTTCATAGTCTTGGCATTATCATAAATGATCCTGCTTTTTTTAAATTTTGACTTCCAATTGTTCATTTCTAGTGTATATAAATGTGATTGTTTTGTACAAGACTCTGCACCTTACCACCTTGCTCCATTCACTCTTCAGTTCTGGAAGCTTTCCTGTAGATTCTTGGGGATTTACTACATAGTGAAGCATATCATCTGTGAATAGATATTTTCTTTTCCTTTCCAATACTTACACCTTCTATTCATTTTTTCTTGCCTTACTCCACTAGCTCCAGTACAATGTTGAAGGTTAAATACAAATGGTAAGAACGGACATTCTTTCAAACTTAGGTGTATCCATTGTGGGCATAGAGAACTTTTTTGTAAAAAGTCAGATAATAAATATTTTAGTCCTTAAGGGCAATATGGTTCCCTGTTGCAATTACTTATCTCTGCCATTGTAGCACAGAAGTAACCAAAGACAATACATAAAAGAATGGGTGTGGCTATATTCTAATAAAACTTTATTTACTGAAACCAGTGCTGATCCATATTTGGCCTATAAGCCATAGCTTGCCAACCCCTGATCTATTGAAACGATCAGTTGGTTTTCTTTATTCTGTTCATATGGTGAATTACATGTCTTGATTTTTGAGTGTTGAACCAGACCTGTATTTTCAAGATAAACCCATGATACAGTTTCCTTTTTATATATTTTGGATTCAATCTGCAAAAATTTAGTTCAGAATTTTTGCATCTATATTCATGAGTGATGTTGGCCTATAGTTTTTTTCTTCTCTGATGCTCTTGTCTAGTTTTGGTTTCAAGGTAATGGCTTCACAGAAGGAGTTGGGAAGTGTCCCCTTTTCTTCAATTTTCTAGATATGTCTGTATGAAATGGATATTACCTCTACATAAAATGTCTGATAGATTTACCAATGAAGACATTAAGGCTTATATTTTCTTTGTGGAAAGATTTTAAGTACAAATTTTGTTTCTTCTGTAGATAAAGGGCTATTTAGTGTCTCTATATCTTCCTTAGTGAGCTTTGGTAGTTCGTGTCTTTAGAGGAATTTGCTCATTTCATCTAAAGAGTAAAAGTTGTTCATAATAGTTTCTTATTACACTTTTTAATGTTTGCAGGAACTATAGTGATGTCAACTCTCTCATTCTTGATACCAGTAATTTGTGCCCTTTTTAAAATCCCTAGCGGTCTAATTAGTAGTTTATCAATTTTATTGAACTGCACAGAGAACCAGGCTTTTGGTTTCATTTTTCTGTATTATTTTTCTATTTTCCATCATAGTCATTTCCTCTCTTAATTTTATTATTTTCTTCCCTCAGTTTATTTTGAGGGTTTTTTTCCTCTCCTTTTTTAAATGACTTGTTAACAGGAATACTTAGGTCGTAGATTTGAGACTTTTCCTCTTCTTTATTATGAACGTTCAGTTCCTCTTAGCTCTACTTTAATCTCATCCTACAAATTTCAATATGCTACGTTTTTATTTTCATTCAGTTCAAAATGCTTTATAACTCTACTTTTAAATTTGTGCTTTGACCCGTAGGCCATTTAGATATGTGCTATTTCATTTTCAAATATTTGGAGACTTTTCCAATACCACTATGTTATTGATTTATGATTCAATTCCGTTTTGGTCAGAAAACACACATTATATGACTTGGATGTTTTTAACGTATTTTTTAAAACTTTCCATATGGCCCTGAATATATCGTACTTTAGCAAGTATTCCATGTGCACTTGAAAAGAATGTGTATATGTTGTTGATTTGTGGAGTGTTTTATAAATGTCAATTAGATCAAGTAGGTGAACCATCATGTTCAAGCATTCTATATCTTTATTGAATTTCTGTCTCCTTGTTGACTCAACTATTAAGAAAGCAGAATTGAAACCTCAGATGATAACTGTGGATTTGCTCACCATCTCTTTTGGTTTTACCACTGTTCATTTCATGTACTTCGAAGCTCTTTCATTGCATTTCATCTGCATGCATAAAAAAATGGAATTGTTATATCTTCTTGATGAATTACTGCTTTAATATTAAGAAATGACCCTCTTTATTCTTAGTGATATTCTTTGCTCCTAAAGACAGTTTGTCTAAAATTTAAATAGCCACTCTAGCTTTCTTTTGATTAGCATTTGCCTGGGTGATCTTTTCCATCACTTTATTTTCAACCTACTTGTGCTTTATATTTAAAGTGGGATTTTGTAGGCAGTGTACAAGTAAGTCTTGCTTTTTTATGTAATCTGAGAATTTATGCTTCTTGAACTATGGGGTATGGTGCTATGATAAACTTTAATAGCCCTGCCTTCTAATTCTATTATCTATGTCATTTCTGGGTCACTTTTGATTGATTAATTCTTCTTGTTATAGGTTGTTTTTTTATAGATCATACTTTATTGCTTATATTCATGCCTGGTCATTTTTGTTTGGATGCCAGATATTATAAATTTCACTTTGTTGAGTGTTGCATATTGTTGTATTTTAAAAAATACAAAAGCTTTGATCTTGAACCCAGTTAAATAACTTTGAAAGAGTTGATCCTTTTGAGGTTCTCATTTAAGCTTTGTTAGTTAAGACCAAGCAGTACTTATTCTCAGGCGACTATTCCCCAATACTGAGGCAATAAAACTCTGAGTACCCTCCCCAATGCCTTGTGTCTAATGAGGCTTTTTATGTGTACCAGTGGGGACACCATCTGTTTCTGGCCTGTGTGAGCTCTGGAAATTGTTCTGTCACCCTTTTGGGGGGTTCTTTTTCCATCTCCAGGCTTCCTACGGCTTCTCACTGACCTGTACTCAGCTGGAGACTCAGGACAACCCTCTGCAGGTCTCCCAGTTCTCTGACCTCTCTAGCTGTTTTGGCCTCTCCCAATTCCATCTCCTCCTGGTGAGACCACAGGGCTCTGCCTATGTCCTCACTTGTTATGCTGACAAAACTCTCCAGGCAGGAATGGGAGCAGTCATGAGGAGCCCCTTGTCAATTTCCCTTCTCAGGGATCATGTCCCTTGCTGCCATTGTCTGATTATGGGCAATCATTGTTTCATATCGTTTTTCCTAGTTTTTAAATTAAATTGGGAGGATAAACCTGGTCCTCGTTACTCCATCTTTTCCATGCATGGAAGTTCAGATAGTGGACTTTCACCCATGTGGTTCCACATGGGAACCCATGTGGGAATCCTATAGCTATGAAAAGCCCTGCATTTCAACTCTGACAGAAGCTTCAGGATGGCCTGAAAGGATTCTTTCCCAGCCGGGCTTCACACCATCTTGGTGACCTCAGGCAAAGCTGCTTTGCCTAACTGGGATTTCATCTACAAATGGAAAGTAAACATTTCCCAAAAGCCTCATCAGGTGCATTGATGTTCAAATGGAACCACACCTACATAGGCCTATGTAAATGTTACCATGATATGTGGAATCCTAAAGGCTATAGATTATACTCCATAAATAAGGAAAATTAAGATGCAAAATTTTTATACTTATTGATGAATTATATGTTTCTATAAGTCAGTCAGCCTGAATTGTCTGCCAAAATTTCCTGAGCTATTTCCTCTAAAAAAAATGTAAATGTGGCTTGAAGTGTTCAGTGAGAGGGTGATGTTGGCAACAATCTTTGTGGTGTAGATTGTCACTGGAAGACACAGAAACAGATGGCAATCGTGGCCTCCGGGAGAAAGCTGGAAATGAGGGGTCAAGTATTGGAAATGGCCTTACTTTCCACAGACCTTCTTTTTCAAATTTTAAAATTCTACCATAAGCTTATAATACTTTTTACAAATATGAATTTGTTGCCTTAAAATAACTTGGGAGTAATATTTTAAAAGCCTAAAGCAGCTTGAAGGCTCTGCAGAGAGCTTCCCTCTCTTGTTGCCAGAATAACCAATGGCCTGTGTGATTTCCAGAATGTCTGAAAAGTCTTCATGACCCAAAGCACCACTCCCGACATCCAGAGTGTGCCTGAACTTCAGGTTCTATTACCATCTAAGAGTCCCATGGGACACATGTAATTTTATGCCATAATCATTAATTTCCTATTGGCATTAGCTTCAACAAAAGATTCACTCACTCACTCAAAAAATACCTACGGAGCACCTGCTAGATGCTTATATGTAAATAAGGGGTTGTTCTTTTCTAAACACCCGCAGAGCAGTGGGAGATGCAGACCAGCCAGCAACAACTTCGGATTCATATGTTGGACAAATATAAATGTGCTAAAGTTAAAGTTTTTCTTAAGAGTTCCTGGCTGTGTTCAAATGGAGTTTTGGGAGAACTTCAGGGGGGTGGATCTCCTTGATACACTTTGAAAGTAGGGAAGGTTGGGAAGGAGAAGGGTAAGAAGACCCTGTGGGCCACAGTTAAGGCTGCATCCCGAGGAAGGGAGCCTCACAGGCTGGGTGCTGCTCTGCATGGGCCCTCTCCCACCCCGACTCTGTGCTGCCGGTCCACCCTGGACCGACCCCATGAACCCACAATCTGCCCCTCTCCCCAGTGGCAAGACCAGTCCCACACAATATTGTTAAAAAGGCCTGGACAGGGCAAGGGTAGAAGTTCGCACTTTTGAGGAGTGAAATGTGTTACAAAATATGTGTCCAGATGCAAGGACAGCATCCAAGTGACCAAGAGCATCACCCACAGGGGGAACCAGGCAAACACATCCTCAGAGGGTAAGGAGAAAATGGAGAAAGTATGACGAAAGCAAGTCTCCACCGAGTGCCTGAGCATAAACCATACACTCTTGGTTCTGGGCCCCCTGAAGGCCTCTGAAGTTGAAAAGGAAAGATGTTTGGGGTCATGCCTTCATGATTGACCAAATCTTGATCATTGTACTTATTTTTTCCACAGGAAAGAAGAACTCACAAAATGAGCAATATAAAAAACTATCAATTCTGGACAAAATCCTTCAAAACATTGGGAAAACTTCAGGTAAACTGGAATAATAGATAAGTGGCTCCTTATGCTGGGTCGTCCCCCGCTGTGAAGAGACATAAACCATCTGCTCCAGGGAACTGCTCTCTGGAGGGGCAAGTGACTCAGTCCCTGGGCAGACCGGCAGGGAGCCCCCGACGGGTGTCCTGTGTTGTCAGTGCGGGACTCCTGGCCCCCCCGAGTCCAAATCCAAGGAGTCATGGGCCACGTCCTGGGCGTGTGGGGCTGCCGTCTTACACCCTGCGGCCAGGCCCAGGAAAGTCCCCAAACCTCACTGCGGGTAGCCTCCCACCTGGAGCTGAGCCCCACACCAGTGGGCATCCCTGACCTCCATCCCCCGACCCCCTTCCCTTTCAGACAACTTCCTATGTGCTGAAGTTGGTCCACAAATTTCCCCCTAGTGGCTTCTGTTCAAGACCCATGCTTCTCCCTGGAACTTTCCAGAACACCTCTGAGCCTCTTCTCCAGGCCAGTCCTCTCCTGTCTTCCCAGCCACTCCCACGTAGACTCTGTAGTCACATAGGTGGTTCAGATCAACACCTCCAGCCTTCTACCTACCCCACACCCGTGATGCACCCTAAGACCGGCTGGTTTTGGGGATGCATCACACCCTAATTTCAAGCTAGTGTTCATGAAGACTTGCAAGGATTTGTAAATGTGACCGCTAAGCCACATGCGTTGGCTCCTTGTAGATCCAAGTGCAGGACCAAACATTTAAACCTGGCTAGCTTCGTCCCCCTTCACCTAGTGTTTACTGAGCACCTACCACGGGCCAGGCACCATTCCGAGTTCTCGGGATTTCACACTGCAGACACAGACAGCCCCGCCCTCACAGAGCCCACATTCCAGGGGACTGTTAGGTCATCTCTCTGCTCCAGTCTGTTGGGACCCTCTGAGTCTCCCCTCTTTTGTCGCCTGTTCCTCCAAGCCCCCGATCATGCTCAATGCGGCCAGCCTGCCATCTTGCCCTTTGTGTAAATGCCAGCCAGGATGGAGTCCCAGACACATCACTAGAGACCTCCCGGTTGTGAGAGTTGTCACCAAGCACAGCCAGGAGCCACTTGGATGCTGCGGGGCTGGAGCCAGCCCTGGGGCCTTGAAATCCCAGCCCCCCCTCCCCGCTCTGCCCCTTCCCCCAGCAGGACTCCCCCCAGTGTAATCGGAGGTAGAAAGGGAGGCTAGTGGTTGCTCCATTCACGGCAAATTCACCGACTGGTACTGATATCCAGCCAATTTCTGCTGCTTTAAACAGATTTCATGAGAGACTTCACCAAACTCCCGGTTCCCTGGGACTGGAGAGTTCTGTCGTGAGAACAATAAAGTCTCCAATGACTCAAATGTCTAAGGCAGGGCCTTTCCACCTGATGAAGCCCCTGCAGGCTGGCCCTGTGCCTGGATGTCTGGGGGATGGGCAGCAGACACTCCTCGAGGTCCAGGGCTGGGGCCCCAGCTGTGGGTGGACAGGAAGGACCAAGGTCCTTGACCTCCCAGGAGCCTGATGTCACAGGAGTGGGTCCACAGCCGGCTGCCCCCGAGGGGAGGAGGCCCCCCCCAGCCCAGCCAGCAGAGCTTAGAGGAGCCCCCACTGGGTTTGCGGGCAGAAAGCAGTGGCAGGGAGGCATTAAAGGGTGCAGTCTGGCCCCCCACCCTGTCCTCCTCTCTGTGACTCCCACGGCCTCATGCTCCCCAAGACCCTGCCAGTTCTCTCCCCAACCTGGCTCACTGCCAACCTCACCTGAGCCCACACCTTCCCCTTCTCCCTCCGGCAAGGAACACTGCCCCGTCAGCCCTGATCTCTCTAGCTTCCATCTTGTCCCCTACCATCCTCTGCGCATCTGCAGGGTGATGTCCATCGTGCAAGCTCATCCCCACCTGCACCTCACCCCCCCACCCCCCCGCCCGGGACCTTCTCCTCCCATGGCTCTGTCCAGCCCCCACAGCCCCTGAGACTGCAGCCCACAGACTGGGGACGCTGGAGGCTGGCTTCATGCTTCTCTAGTTCCTGCAGCTGCAGGACTCCCCAGGAGGGTCTGAAAGGCAGGCTCATGGGAACAAGCAGAGTGCATCAAATTTCTCAAGGAAATCTCCTCTCTCCAAGCAGGGAACTCTCTCCAGTAAGTGGAAGAGGACGGGGAGGCTCTGAAGAGGTGCAGAGGGCAGTCAGCATGGCCATCTGCTCCAAAGGAGCCCCCTCTATAGGAAATCCAGACTTCGTGAGACCCCACAGCCCCTCAGGAATAAAGAGCATATATGTACACATGTTGTTAACCATGCTGCACAAGGAAGCGTGTTTTATTCGTGCAATTCCAGGTAGAGCTCAGCTATTTAAATGCTAAGCTAGAGGGTATGTGGGTTTCTTTTTGTCTTTGTCTTTTTTTTTTTTTTTCTAAAGAAACAAAAATTACCAAGTCTGAGAAAGAAGAGCCTTTTGAGGTTCATCTTTTCGAACAGGACAGGGTTTGAGGAAGCTCAACTCAGCTTTTGAGAATTCTGTCATGACAAACCAGAGTCAGCCCTGCACGCCTCCCTCCAATGGGGGCACCTTGCAGAGTGCACACGCACGTGCACGAAACACACACGTGATGTCCTTGCATCACAATGCGTACCGGACATGGAAACACAGGCTGGGTCTCTGGGGTGTGGAAGGTGACCCAGAGCAGTTCTCCGGGGACCCACCAGAGCATATCTTGCAGCAAGCTTTCTTATCCAAACCCCTTCTGACTGTGGACAGGTTATACCTCTGCTTAACTCGTGAGGTGAGGCTGGGAAGAGCTACTTAAGACACGATGAGATGGCCTTTTCCCCAGAAAGGCAGGTGTGTGGAGTTCACGGATCATGTCTGAGAACAGGCCTGGGGAGAGAACTTCTCTCCTGAGGTACAGTTTTGGCGATGGATTGGTATTTGTTCTAGAACACAGATGGAAACTGATTTAAACTAAGTCATTTTATTTGTGATTGCTGGCTGCACGCTCTTCTCAAGAGAAACAAAAGTCCTCTCTTCTCTTTGATGTCATCAAGTCAGCTATAGCATGGAGGTGTGGGGATTGGGCTCAGAGGGTTGAGGCTTTCACAATCCTGTGAGATCCCAGCTGAGGAACCGGAGGTAGAGAGAGGACACCCGACTCCCTAGTCGCCCGGTCGGTGGCAGAGCAGGACGCAGGTACCCCTGATTCCTGAGCCTTTCCCTCTTCAGCACCAACTACCTTTCTGCCCCCCTCCAACAGTAAACGGATGTCTAAGTGTTTTGTTTTGTTTTGTTTTTGTTTTGTTTTGTTCATATACTTTTAATTTTTCTGTTTTGTGCTTGAATCTCATAAAACATTCTTAGAGTTCTTTGTGATTTGACGCATGAAATGCCAGTTCTCCCTCAGCACAGGGCTTGGGAGGGAGGCGTCCCCTCCACGTGTCTCCACTCAGAGGTGTTGGGGGGCTTTCTCATCACTCACCGTCACATGGCCCCTGGTGGAGCCAGTCCCTGGAGGGATCTCCCCGCCAGGTGTGCTGATGGCATCCTTGGTCCCAAGCAGGACCTCACAGTGTTTGTCGCCAGGGGAGCTTTGACAAAACAAAATGTAAAAACATCATTGACCAGACCCCCCCCACTCCTCTCCCTCATTCTCATGGGATCCCTGATTACAGTGATTTTCAAAAGCTGAAATCTTAATGATTTAACAGTTTGAGCCCATCAGAATGTTTCCGGTCAGTGATGGCCTCAAAGCCAGCTGCGTCAGACGCTGGCTCCCAATGTTCCTGAGGGCCCCACAGTGTCCAGGCCCACCTCTGAATGCCACAAGGGAGGACAGTGCCCTTTCGGGAGCTTAAAATACAGCTGAGAACTAAATTTATGAACAAAAACATAAATACCAGTATTACTAGCAAAAATCAAGTGAATTGGTTAAGGACAGGCCTCTGAGCTGGAAATGAGCCTCCCTCTGGGTCCAGAATCCACGGAGAAGATGGGAGCCTTCAAAGGTAAGAAGCACAGGTAGGTGAGTGTGGGCACAGCCACTCTGGGCGCAGTGATCCCCTGGTACGTGCTATGGGTTGGAAAAAGTTTAAAAATACTGATTTTTTCTATGATTTCAATTTTGGAAATTTATTAAGGGCTGCTTTATGGCCAAACATGGCCATTTTTGGTGACTCTTCCATTTCAACCTTGGGAGGAATGTGTATTCTGCAGGTGTTGGGTGCCATGTTCTACAAAGTCATTGTATGGTTTAAATTTTCTCCTTACTGATTCATCTTTGTCTGTTGGGTCAGTCAATTTCTACAGGCGATGCATTAAAGTCCCCCACTCTGATTGTGAGGGACTTACTCTTTTATAGTTCTGTCAATTTTGCTTTATATATTTCAAAGCTATATTTTTAAGTTCATAAAGACTAAATTATTCTATCTTTCTGTTGGATTGAAGCCTTTATTGTGTGACATTTTCTCTTTATCTGTGCATTTCCTCTTACCTACAATCTACTCTGCTTGATATTAGTAAACATGACTATACTAACTTTCTTTTGGTTAATGCTTGCATGGCGTGTCATCTTCCATCCTGTAACTTCCAACTTTTCTGTGCATTACATTTCATGTATATCCCGTTAGGCACTATATAGAAGGATGTATTTTTTAAAATTCAATCTTTTTGCCTTTTAATTATTTAATCCATGTACATTAAATGTAACTAGTGATACATCCGGGTTTATATCTACTATCTTACTATTTGTTTTCTATTTGACTCACATGCCTGAATTTTCTCCTTCATTACCTTGTTTGAGTTAATGAAGTATTTTTTTCATTCCATTTTTCCCTTTATTGGATTGTTAATTATACATTTTTTAAAATATTACTTCAACAGCTTTGGTAGAAATTGCAATATGCATCCTAGACTTATTATAATTGAAAATAAGTTAGCACTTTTACTACTTCCTGGGAAATGCAAGGACAGGAGAACATTTAACCCCATTTACTAATCATCTTTTGTATTATTTTCATCATGAATTTTAATCCTACAGATGTTTTAAATGCCACCGACATTGTGGTTACGGTTTTATACAGTTATATACTTACCCTTCCTCGTACTCTATTCTGGTGTGCATTTTTAATGCTTCCAGCTAACAGGATATTCCTATGACTAGAGAATTCCTTTTAGCATTTTAGTGTGAGTCTGCTGGGTATAATATCAGGCCTTTATTTGTCTGAAAATATCCTTATTTTCATTTTTGAGGAATATTTTTACTAAATACAGAATTCTGGGCTCACAGCTATTGTCTTTCAGTGTTTCCATTGTCTTCTGCCTTCCATAGTTTCCACTGAAAAGTCTCCTGTCTCCATCCGTGTTCTTGCTGCTCCTTTTCTCTTCTGGCATTTTAAAGAATTTCTGTCTATGGATCTCAGCAGATTTACAACGACATGCCTGGGTGAATTCCATTGCATTTGTTATGCCTGGGGTTTATAGTGATATTTGAATCTATGGCTTGGTTTCTTTTGTAAGTTTTGCAAAATTCTAGTCTATTTTTTCCAATAATGATTCTGAACGATTTCTCTCTTCCTCCTTCCCCAATTTACATATTAAATCTTTTTACTGTGTTCCATATGTTTCCTATAATTCTCTTTATTTTCCATTCTTTGTTTTCTTTGGCCTTTATCCAGATATTTTCTACTGACCTACTTCTAGATAATTTACTCTCTTCAGCCATGGCTAATCATCTACTTTGTACAAAATTTCAATCACTGTGTTTTTAATCCCAGAATTTCCATTTGATTCTATTTCCTGGATTCCACTTCTCTGTGAAGTTTGCCATCTTGTCTATCTTATTGAATTATATTAGTCACAGTTATTTTTTATCTGTATTCAGTAACTCCAATACTGAAGTTGTTATCTAGGAGTCTATTTCTGTTGCCTGGACTCTTGGGATGATTGGTGTTTTCTGACTGAATGCTGGACATTGTGTTGTGAAATACTGCAAGGACTCTGAAGAGCCTTCAGTTCTGGCAACTAGTTAGAATAAGAGATGATCATCTTCAGTTGTTTTAACATCAGGGTTCAGTCTTTGTGAGATCTGGTCTATTTCCAGTTTCTCTTATTCTTTATTTCTACAGGAGTTCTGATTTAAGTCAGAGAATTTATAGGGCCTTGAATTTTATTTTTAGTTTTATACAATAAGACTGCTTTTAAAATCTCTCCTTAGCCGCTCAGCCTCTTGGCTACCACTTTCTGCTCACCTCATGTCTGCGTGCACAGCTGAGGAGTTAAAGAATGCTTTGAGGCGCAAACAGATCAGATGTGTAGACTCACTACACTTCACATCCCTTCTCTCTGACCCAAGTCCTGGCTGCTTCAGAAGCCTTGAACTCACATTTTGTATTCGTAGCCCTGGGGAATTCCAGAAAGCCTCTTAGAGCTTGATTTCTGATCTGCTTCTCAGCCTCTCTGTGATTGTGTAAGAATTAGCAAATGCCTCATGGGGAAGATGGGCTTGTAACTTTTTTTAAAGATTTTATTTTTTATTTGAGAGAGAGAGAGAGTGAGCACAAATGGGGTGAGGGGCAGAGGGAGAAGCAGACTCCCCACTGAGCAGGGAGCCCAAAGCAGGGCTCGATCCCAGGACCCTGAGATCATGACCTGAGCCGAAGGCAGATGCTTAACTGACTGAGCCACCCATGAGCCCCAGGGAAGATGGGCTTAGAATACAAAGTTCACATCAGTGAATTGTCCTTCTTTCTGGAATCTTGACCCCTCAAGTTCTTAGGATGTTTCCAATGTACACACTTGTATTTTAAACAGGCTTTCTAGTTGTTTTCAGTGGGATAATAGGTCCACTACCAACAAGCTTACCTCTTCCAGAAGTGGACCTCTGAGAAACATCGACTGTCCTGGGCAGTAAAGAGAGAAAATGAAAGAAAAAGTACTATGGGTAAAGATTTATAAGACTTGTTTATTTTTATATTTAGAAAAACAGCACAAAATAGTACTCCCTCTTGTAACTTGTGGTCTTTCTGATCTGAAAATAGTGATACTGGCTATCATGAAGAAGCACTTTGAGTTACTTCCCAGAGTTGGAAGGGGGCAGGGATGTTCCCTTGAATAATTCACTGTCCCCCATTCATCCTAGACCAGTCTATTGAAGAACTGCCCCCCCGCCAGACTTGGCATCATGCCTCCGGGGTCTTAAGGTTGTATAATTATCAGACTCCCAGCTGGATGTGGTTCAGTGTCTGCTCAGTACATGTCCCAAAGAAAGAAGGAAAGGCAGACTCCTGCCTTTGCTACTATGTGCCAACCTAAAGAT